CTCGGCTCTTGTCTGCACACCGCGCGCGTCAGTAGCAAGTCCGGTCAACTCTGCCTTCAAAATGCTGCTAGAACTGGCCCCACTTCTCTCTGCGCCCACTACCACCCCAACAGCTTTTCTCATCTCTTCCCTCTTGCAGCAGCCAGTTATCTTTATGAAAAAAAAAAAACTGGACAATGTCACTCCCGCTGAAAACGCTCATCAGTCACAGATGACAATTTCTGAGAACCTAGTTATAGGTGCTGGGAAGCTACAGAGGATGTCTTCAAAAAGCTATATTCTTGTTGGGAAGAGAGGCAGTAAGTGTGTAATCACACACATGAGGGATTCAGGCCCAGAAAAGCTTTGTGAATAAGAAAATATAGGGAGTCCGGGCATGGTGGCTCACACCTACAATTCTAGCACTCTGGGAGATAGAGGGAGGTGGATTACTTGAGCTCAGGAATTTGAAAGCAGCCTGAGCCAGAGCAAGACCCCTCTGTTAAAAATAGAAAGTAGCCAAGCACTGTGGTCTCCCAGATACTTGGGAGGCTGAGGCAAGAGGATCGTTTAAACTGAAGAGTTTGAGGTTGCTGTGAACTAGGCTGACACCTTGGCATTCTAGCCTAGACAACAGAGTGAGACTTTGTCTCAAAAAAAAAAGACAATATAGGGAAAGAAGAATGTGACAGTGGCAGGCAGGGGAGGGCTTGCTCTGGGCAGAGACGTCTCTGGAGGACAGAGTAGCTCAGGTGATCTACTCACTAGTCCCCCATTCCAACCTTTGACTAGCACACAGAGCAGAGAAAGTGAAAGTCGCACTCCCCAGAGTCCTCTTAGGGCTCTGAGTATGATTTATATCCCACCAATCAGCTTTGTGAAATGGGGAAAGGAAGGTAGGGGGCCGCGCACCCTCTGTCTTGCTGGCCCAAACCCTGACAGAGGCCACACAGCAGCAGCATCTAAGACAAGGGCCTCCCATGTGGCTGGGAAAATCATACCAGCTACACATACCCTGTCCTCCTCCCAGCCCTGGGCTCATGCCTGATGTGTAGTATTTAATCTGGATAGGGGCTCTGTCACAGGCTGAGACCAGCCACCTCTAGGGGAATGAGGACAGGATGCCAGGTGCAGACAGGGACCAGGAAAGGGCCTCTTACCTTATAGACTGGGTCTTCTGGCCCTTCAAACTGTAGACCTGAGGGATACAGGGGGAAAAAGACAAAAAGTGCCGTATAAGAGGATGCCATGACTCCCTGCTGCTCTCACCTACCTCCATAATGCCTACACAACCTGGGACAGTCCCTTCAAGTGTCACCTCCTGTCCAGAGTGTCTGCTGACACATGTCCCTCTCCTCAGGGCTCTGGTGGATGGTGTTCCAAGGTCTTTCTCAAATCCCAACAATTCTAAAATCTCTGATGCCCACCCTCAGAGCTTTGGGTGCTGTGAGTTAATTCATTCCTTCTAGATATCTCTTACTGAAGGGAAGGAAGCAAAGGATAAATAATGAACCATCTTCATATGAGGTATCTGGGGTGGTTAAATTGATAGAGAGAGAAAGTAGCACGGTGCTTGCCATGGGCTACAGGAAAGGGCAGCAGGGAGTTAATGTTAAATGGGTGCAGAGTTTCTGTGGGGAATGATGAAAAACTCTGGAGTCGGAAGGTGGTGATTAGTGGTTGTGTAACAATGTGAATGTACTTAATGCTACTGAATTGGACACTTAAATGGTGGAAATGGTAAATTAATGTTATGTATGTTTTATCACAATTAAAAAATGAATCATCCAAAATGAAAAATCCTAATCTCTAGTTGCAAATACTTGCAAAAAGAAAAAAAATGAAAAATCCTTTTAAAATGGCTTTTCAAGGCCAGGCGAGGTGGCTCATGCCTGTAATCCTAGCACTCTAAGAGGCTGAGGTGGGTGGATTATTGCTTGAACTCAGGAGTTCAAGACCAACCTGGGCAAGAGTAAGACCCTGTCTCTATTAAAAATAGAAAACTAGCCAGGTGTTGTGGTGGGCTCTATAGTCCCAGCTACTTGGGAGGCTGAGGCAGAAGGATCACTGGGGCCCAGGAGTTTGAAGCTGCTGTGAACTATGGCACCACAGCACTCTATCCAGGGCAAAAGAGTGACACTCTGTCTAAAACCAAAAAATGGCTATTCAAAAACACTAGCTATTCCCCCTATTGTATTTACTTAGAGTCTATCTCTGTTCTTAAAATATGCTTAATTCAACTTCTAATTCAAACACATCCTCTCTATGTGGCCTTAGACAGTTAACTAAACTCTCACCATCTACAAAATTGACAAAATATTGTTTACCTCTTTGGGTGTTTGTCAATGTGACATCAGCTTATCTTTATTTTTTTAAGAGTCTTACTCTGCTGCCCAGACTGGAGTGCAATGACCCCATTGTAGCTCACGGCAGCCTCAAGCTCCTAGGCTCGAGCAATCCTCCTCCCTCAGCCTTCCCAGTAGCTGGGACTACAGGCACACACCATGACACCTGGCTAGTTTTTCTATTTCTTCTAGAGATGGGGTCTCACTATGTTGCTCAGGCTTCTTGGCCTTAAGCCACTATGCCTGCCTAAAGAAACCTTAAATGGAAGGATGCTGGGCAGCGCCTGTGGCTCAGTGAGTAGGGCACTGGCCACAAATGCTGAGGGTGGTGGGTTCAAACCCGGCCCTGGCCAAACTGCAACAAAAAAAATAGCCGGGTGCTATGGCGGGCTACTGGGGAGGCTGTGGCAAGAGAATTGCCTAAGCCCAAGAGCTGGAGGTTGCTATGAGCTGTGATGCCACAGCACTCTACCAAGGGCGAAAGACTTTGTCTCTAAAAAAATAAAAAATAAATAAATAAAAAGGAAGAATTCTAAGAGGGGAAGTGAGGTGAGCCAGGCCAACCCAGCCAAGGGGCTAAGCCTCAGCCAGCTCCCCCCTCTCCTCTGTCCCTTGTCTGGCATCTGCATTTCCTTCTGTGCACAGAACATCATCCATTGACATCCTGCATCCCCCTCTGTCTCAGGCAATCACACTCATCTCATCTTTTTGACATGTGGGTTTATGAAATTTGGTTATCTGTCTTGCTCATTCATGCTGGACTTGCAGAGAGCTCAGCTAGATCCATGAGACGTGGCAGATCCCCAGCTGTCACCACCACCCCCAGACTCTACTGGGAGGTTTTTCCTGGGGCCTGTTTGCTTATACTCAAAGCCCACAAGCAGAAGGAGACTTTACTGGACTGGACCCAGATACTGCCAAATTGCTGTCAAGATGGCCTGCCCTGGGGGGAAACGTTTACACCTGCAGGCTCACACCTCTGTCTCTCCTGATAATATTCTACTTTGTTCTGTTAAGGGATGTGATGCTGAATGAGAGGGGTGTGTAAAAATCCATGGTGGGGGGCAATTTTTTTTTTTTTGAGACAGAGCCTCAAGCTGAGCCCCTGGGTAGAATGCTCTGGCTTCACTGCTCACAGCAACCTCCAACTCCTGAGCTCAAGCGAGTCTCCTGCCTCTGCCTCCCAAGTAGCTGGGATTACAGGCGCCCACCACAACGCCCGGCTATTTTTTGGTTGCAGCCATTATTGTTTGGCGGGCCCAGGCTGGATTCAAACCCGCCACCTTAGGTGTATGTGGCTGGCGCCTTAGCCGCTTGAGCCACAGGTGCCGAGCTGGTGGGGGGCAATTTTAATTGACATAAACATTCTTTTCAAAATATACTCCCTAAAGATGGGCCCACACTGCCTGCACCCATGATGCTGGAGGACATCAAAAGTCAAATATGGGCAGTACTGGTGGCTCAGGGAGTAGGGTGCTGGCCTCACATGCCAGGGGTGGTGGGTTCAAGCCCTGCCCCGGCCAAACTACAACAACAAAATCAATAAAAATAAACTGTTTTATAAAAAAAAAAAAAAGCCAAATATGTCTTTGAGGCACACAGATTTCTTTTTTCTTTTTTTCTTATTTAGGTTCTATTTTTGTTTTATTTTTGCAGTTTTTGGCCCGGGCTGGGTTTGAACCCGCCACCTTTGGCATATGGGGTTGGCACTTTACTCCTCTGAGCCATAGGCACTGCCCAAGGCACACAGATTTCTAACCTCTTCTATGTTATCTCAGCGCCTCAAGGAGGTTACAGCAACCAAGAGAGAGTCCCAGTTTGCAGAAACAGTGAGGCTGACATGAAATGAAGTCACATCAAGTTTTCTATCTTGTGCTGAGTACAGGGATTTTGCCTAAGAAGAGTAAGACTATTGCCTGGGTGCTCTCAGGACGTGGATGGTGTACCTACCTGGGATGGGAATTGTGTGCAAGGGCATCACCTCCACTCCATAAACTGGGTACCCAAAAGGGAGGTTGGGTTGAGCCAGGAGGGGCGGTGGACGGGGCAGCCTTTCTCTGCAGAAAAACAGAAACATTAGCAGCTGCCCTGATGCTGGCGCTTAGTTAGCGCTCAAAGTGGTGCCTGTGAACTGAGCCTTGTCCTGCCAATGTGGAACAATCAAAAGTAGATTCTTCCTATCTTCCAATCAGTCTTTCCCCCACCACCTTTATTTCTGTCCCTCCCTCTAGTCTCCACAAAGGTACTGAAGCCATTTACAAGAAAGCACATGAAAAATAAAAATCATGACCAGCAAAAAGGGAGAAACAAAATTATCAGACATGGGCGGCGCCTGTGGCTCAAAGGAGTAAGGCGCCGGCCTCTATGCTGGAGGTAGCAGGTTCAAACCCAGCCCTGGCCTCCCCCACCCCAAAAATAAAGTCAGACATTAGGGACCAACCCAGCTGAAACAGGTGAACACCAAAGTCACATCTCAACTTCCTAGTAGCCAGGGTAAAAAATGATTGTCAATGAGTACACTGTCCTTACCACCAAAAGGAAGAAGCAGACCAATTCCTAGCACTGAACTAAAAATTAAACTATCACAAGTACCTTTACATGGGAGTGGTGCTTGTCACAGTATTTTTATTTATTT